AAGCCTGAAGAATCACCTGAAAGTTCATTCAAAGGAGAAACCACATTCATGTTCTTTGTGTGGAAAGAGTTTTTCACAACTGCAAAGTTTAAAAGTTCATCAGAAGAGACACGCGGGTGTGAGAGATTATATGTGTTTAGAGTGTGAGAAGACTTTTATTACAGCTGAACATTTGAAGCGGCACCAGAGGATTCACACTGGAGAGAAACCGTATCACTGCACTGCATGCGGGAAGAGTTTCAATCAATCATCTAATCTACGCGTTCATAAAAGGATTCACAGTCAGTAGATCATCTTCAGATCCAACACTTTCAGGTCTGATGTTGCGTCCTCACCAAACGTGACACAATAATGTGTCAAGAAATAAAGCATCTTCTGTATAAATCTGTCCTCTAACGAGGAAACATCATCTAAACTCACAGTGAATAAAGTTCATCTTCAAGACCAGCACAGTTTCACCTGTAACATTTTTATGGGCTTCAGCCTCTGAAGAATCACCTGAAAGTTCATACAAATCACATTCGTGTTATATGTGTTTAAAGCTTTTCACAACTGCAGAGTTTAAAGTTCATCAGAAGATACACACTGGTGTGAGAGATCATATGTGCTTTGAGTGTGAGAAGACTTTTATTACAGCTGAACATTTGAAACTGCACCAGAGGATCCACACTGGAGAGAAACCTTACAGTTTCATCTGTCAGATTCAGATCAACTCAAAGATGGAGTTCCTCCCCAAAGAACAATATCTGAGAGCTTTATTCTTGTAAATGTTGCTTCATGATATTAATTATATCATTGTGTTTTTTTATGAGTTTCATTCATCACTTGTAGTTTGTTTACTCTTTATATGAAGGGAAGTAGTGTGTTTTTTTTTTTTTTTTAAATGTGCAGAACATTGTTGTTCTGGAAGCTGAAGAAGAGGCTGTAACACTTTTGAACTCCCACAACAATCACACCTTCAGTGAAGCTCCTCCCACTGCAGTTCATCAATAAATGCTGGAATATTCCCATCAGTCTACAAGTGAAGACGAGCATCAAAGCATCAGGAAGAAGTGAAATCTGCAGAGACAGAGTTTATTGAAGGACAGAGAGAACATGAGAGATCCAGAACCCTGCAGAATGAAACACACTGAAGAACAAACAGGTTGGTGTTTATTCCTGACTCTTCATCAGGCTGAAGAACATTAAGGTTATAAAGCTTCAAGCAGTTTTAGATTTGTTGCAGTAGGAAAATTTGTAAAATCTGTACAGTAATATAGTTGAAGCAGAAAATAATAAGGACACTTTTAATAAACTGGGTAATTAAAAAACAAAAAAAATGTATGTTAGATAATTGTGTAGCTGGAAAGTTTCTGGGTCACTAAGGTCATAAAAAATGCATCAAAATGATAAAAAAAAATTAGGCTATATGACAGTAGTTATTAATGGTCTGCACTTCAGTTTTGAGCTGCGCACGCTGAAGATGACCAGTAGAATGAAGCAGCAGGTTTGTAATCAATGGGATTTAACTCATCATTTATCTCGTATAGAATACGCTTCGTTATTTATACAACATAACGTTAATATTACGACTTATAGGCTATCTGCACAAAATGCCCCGAATGCATGAACATGTCTGCGCGGCTCTGAATTAACTCCTTTTGTGGATGCGTTCTTCACGCAACAACAACGTGCAGAAACACGGCAACTAAACTAAAAATTCACAGCGTTTTATTATAATAGTGTTCTCATTATAATTGTTATGTATATGACAGTCCCAGTCATAGTCATCCATTACATATACTCTTTTGGACCACGAGGGTGAAGCAGATCATCACCATCAGACCGATCGGTGTGTGACATCAAAGTACTGCTAGAGCTATAGAGCGCAGATGGCTCCTTATTCTTTTGAATCGCTCTCGCGGGACTTTGATGTCATACACCGATCGGTCTGCGCGCAGCGGCGCTTCAAATCCAACACATTTCGGTCAATGGTTCAATGCGCCATATGATTCACCAATTCGTTCAAAATGTGCATTAAGAAATGAAATGCTGCTGTGTGTTGCTCGGAGACGAACAGTTCTGCTTTGTCTTTATATTTTCGTTGGCAAAATTGAGCAAAACTGTCAATATTGTGTAAAAAAAAAAAAAATATTAAGTTCTTATTTACTGATCTTATACAACAGTTCAGTATCACATTTGCACTCGTGTGATATTGCACTTATTGCTCGTGTGATATTGCTTAACTATATGATGCAAATATGAGACAAAATCTCAAACGGGCATTTTTGCCCCATATCTTGAATTGAAGGGACATTCTTACTACGTTCTCTAGGCTCCTTCACGCAGTGAGTTGTTTCCTTGTCTCATTTTGCCATCAATTAACTGTATAAAATGTCAGATGACCCACATAGGTCTGGGGCAGGGCAAGTGTGTTAAATGCGTTAATAATTTTAACACGTTATTTTTCATCGTAATTAATTAATCTAATTAACGTGTTAATTTACCAGCCCTAGTTTTCTAGTTTCTTGAAGATGTAGGGATGTAACGATTAACTGCGAGCCAGTTGAAAATCGATTAAAATATGTGACGATTTTGAGATCCTAAACAAATCGCGATTTGGGGTAGGAGTTTATATGAATGTATGTCAGAGGGGAACTTACTGTCTTTAGAAAAGTTTAGATGGTAGCATATTTTTTTCTTTTCATCTTGCCTGTGTATAATGCATATTAAAGTGCAGATTAAAAGTGCAGTGCTGCTTTGTTTACAGAGGAAACCAAGGAAACGCTTTAAGTGCCACCAGCTGGCAGAGATTGAATCTGCTCTAGCGTCATGTATTGCGTCATCTTTGTTGGATCATAATTAAAATGCAGTGGTTGCCTCTAATTTTAAATGGAAATAGCACAGACAAAGCCTTATTTTGTTATGAAGAGATTTCTTTTATTCGTGTTATTTATTTGATTTGGGGCTTGTTTTAAAATTTCAATTTAGTTTTGTTATTTACTTTTACATTACATTTAAACTTTATTTAGCAGACGCTTTTATCCAAAGTGACTTACAAATAAGGACAATAGAAGCAATCAAAACCAACAAAAGAGCAATAATATGCAAGTGCTATATTAGTATATTTTTATAGTGTTATATTTCAATTTCACAAAAAAACGTGCAGCATTTTGTCCAAGCAATAGTAAAAGGACACATTTAATTTATAATTTGTCTTAAATCTCATTTTGTCAAAAAAAAAAATTGTAAATCAAATTGAATCGGGAAATCAAAATTGTGAATCGAATCGTGAGTTGAGTGAATCGTTACATCCCTATGAAGATGGCTAAGGACTCAGCTGCTCGGATTGAGTTGGGCAGGTCATTCCACCAGGAGGGAACAGTTATTGTAAAAGTCAGTGAAAGTGATCTTGTACCTCTTTAGGATGGAACAATAATGCGCTGTTCACTTGCAGAACGCAAGCTCCTAGAGGACACAGAAGACTGAAGTAGTGAATTTAGATAAAATGGTTCAGAGCCAGTGGTGGTTTTGTAGGCAAACTTCAATTTCTTGAATTTTATGCAAGCAGCTATTGGTAGCTGGTGCAAATTGATGAACAGAGGTGTGACGTGTGTTCTTTTCGGCTCATTAAAGATTAATCTTGCAGCTGCATTCTAGATTAATTGTAGAGGTTTGATAGAACTGGCTGGAAGACCTGCCAAGAGAGCATTGCAATAGCTGTAGGACCGAGCAGTTTTAGCAATGTGGTCTGAGAAATTCAGCTGATTTCTTGAAGATGGCTAAGGACTCAGCTGCTCGGATTGAGTTGGGCAGGTCATTCCACCAGGAGGGAACAGTTATTGTAAAAGTCAGTGAAAGTGATCTTGTACCTCTTTAGGATGGAACAATAATGCGCTGTTCACTTGCAGAACGCAAGCTCCTAGAGGACACAGAAGACTGAAGTAGTGAATTTAGATAAAATGGTTCAGAGCCAGTGGTGGTTTTGTAGGCAAACTTCAATTTCTTGAATTTTATGCAAGCAGCTATTGGTAGCTGGTGCAAATTGATGAACAGAGGTGTGACGTGTGTTCTTTTCGGCTCATTAAAGATTAATCTTGCAGCTGCATTCTAGATTAATTGTAGAGGTTTGATAGAACTGGCTGGAAGACCTGCCAAGAGAGCATTGCAATAGCTGTAGGACCGAGCAGTTTTAGCAATGTGGTCTGAGAAATTCAGCTGATCATCAATCATAACTCTTTTTTTGAAGGAGTTACAGTTGATGTGCCTAACTGGATGGTAAAATTGTGATGAAGAGATGGGTTTGTTGAAACCACAAGCAGTTCTGTCTTGGCAAGGTTGAGTTGATGGTGATGGTCCTTCATCCAGCAAGAAATGTTTGTTAGACATGCTGAGATACGAGCAGCTATCGTCGGATCATCAGTATGGAATGAGAGGTGGAGTTGAGTGTCATCAGCATAGCAGTGATATGAAGACCCATGTTTCTGAATAACAGAGACTAGTGATGCCATGTAGATAGAGAAGATAAGTGGTCCAAGAACTGAGCCCTGAGGCACCCCAGTAGCTAGATGTTGCGACTTGGACACCTCACCCCTCCAAGATACCTTGACAGACCTCTCTGAGAGGTAAGAATCAAACCACTGGAGTGTGGTTCCTGAGATGCCCTTTGGCAATAATAATAATAACAATAATAATAATAATAATTTGTTACTTTTATATAGCGCTTTTCTGGGAATTGAAAGCGCTTTACATGGAGGGGGGAATCTCCTCCACCACCACCAATGTGCAGCATCCACCATGATGATGGACATAGGCCAATGGGTGAATTTGGCCAGGATGCTGGGGTTACACCCCTACTCTTTTTCGAAGGACATCCTGGGATTTTTAATGACCACAGAGAGTCAGGACCTCGGTTTAATGTTTTTTTTAATTTTTATTATTATTGTGAAAATTTTCTCATGCCGTAAAATAGCTTGAATGTAACTCTACACCCTTGCCTCATTGACTATACGCGGATCTATGAATACGGAAATTAGCCCCGCCTCCACTGTCACACACCAGCTAGCCATGAGCAAGGGCCTCCTGATCCATGAACTGAACCATAATAAACGCGATACAGTGGCAATGGCAAGTGGAAATATTGGTTTAATTAAACCATATGTGTTTGAACCACAAATAAGATGGTATGCTCAACGTAAGCTAGGAGACTGATGGCTAACTTTGTGAGGTAACATTATCTGTTTGCGCTAGACTTGTGCCGGTATTCGGTAATGCGATATATCACGGTAATGAATATGCACGATATTGTTATCGTGGGCACTTCTAAATACCATGAATAATTATACATAACAAATTATTCAGAATTTTGAATGCATTTTAAGAATACTTTTCCCATAAACTGGTCAAAATGCACAACGCCGCTGTGTG